CGAAATTCTTTTTGACACATTATTTAATTTGTGGATAAAAATAGCTATTCACTTTTTTTATTTTGGTGAGGCCAGTAAAAATGTTGGCAGTTGAAAATGTCCTTAGTGTTAAACTCTGGTGTATATATTAGTAATTGGCTTCCAAATATAGAGAGTTATCAGCCAAAATGTTCTTATTGTTTTATAACTTTAAAATGTCATAGAAATGCAATTGTATGTCCCTGTTGCAAATTGTCACTGTAAAGTAAGCATGTAATCAAGACTAATCAAGATTTCAGGGATTATTATGAATTATTTATCCATGCACATTAAAATCAGGTTCTACTTTAAAAGAATTGATTTGACATGAAGATTTACACAATTGATAAGGATTGGAACAAAAACTTTTCACAAAGGCAAGTGGACTGTAAAATAAGCTGAGGTAACTCAAACCATTTGAGGAAACTGATTGCAACAAACCATTTAAGTTCAACAACTAATCTTAAAGAGTACTGTGAACTTAATCAATTTGAGTAAACAAAGCAATTTGAGTACTGTAGCAATATTAACAGAGTACTGTAAAACTCATTAAGTTAAGGTAACTCAAACCATTTAAAGAAACTGATTGCTTTAAAAATCTTTGAACCAATTGAGTTCAAAATTCTTTTCACATGATTAAAATTAATTTCCAGTAAGATTTAAGTTGTCTACACTCATTTGATTTGGTAAATTTGACTATTAGGTTTTACAGTGTCAACAACAGCCAATTAAATTGCAGTTTCCATACTAAATTTGCATATTTCATGCAATACAAACATCAGAGATGATTTGTATTCACTATGAACATCATAATGGTATATGTATGCAAACATCATTTACTTTATAACATTCTACAGAAACTGGCACCACAACATGAACAAAGTCTGCAAGATACTAAAGAACCATTTTCAAATTTGCATACATTTTATTTGAAGACTTTCCCCAGCCCAATTACCTAAATGAAAACTTGTTTCAAGTTTCAAGTGGCACTCAAAACCACAGTCTGTGTAAGGATTCTAGTATCTATTTGTCTAGTACAAATAAAACTCCAACTTACATTTGCTAATGCTCTCCTGGGCCTCATAGGATAGTAAATAACCATTGAATCAGCACTGCAGAATTTTACTAGGTTTTCTTGTACATTTCTTACAGTTTTAAGAATACTGAGAATTTGGGCATACTTGACTCGCATACAGATATTGCTTTACTGTAATACAGAAGTAGGCATATTTACAAAACCAAATAAAAACAGATATCAGGCAGTTTTGTTAAATTAAATCATTGTTTAAGTAAATTACATTTACTTTAGCCTTTGTTGCATTCTGGCACATTTTGGAATTACTATTCATATACATGAATTAGGCCATAAATTAATTTTTGGAGGGCGGGGGCAAACATGATACAGTGCATATACATTAGATTAATAAATCTGGAGCTTAACTAACAAAACAACTTAAGATAACAGTCCAAAAACTAATACACCCATATTTATGTTATAGAAAAAATATTAAATACCAATTTAAAAAAGAGCAAAATTCAAGAGAAACAAAGATAAGTTTTAAAACATTGTTGAAATTTTGTAGGTTGTAATGTTTTTGCTTTATCTATTTGCTTAATTTATTTGTATTATCTTTCAATTTCTAAATTTGTTGAGTGACTAAAATTTTACTTTAATAAATATATCTGTTCAATAAATCTGTTTTGTTTCAATGCACCAAAATACCTTGCCTATATTCACTGAGAAATGGATAAAAATATTCATTTTCAAACTGGGGTGCACTCAATTATGTTGAGCACTGTATATGATAGAGCACATATTAATGTTGGACACTTGGCTGTTTCCCTTATTACTCAAAGTCAACCTTTCTTTTTCTGAAATTTCCTGTTTCTATTCGCAAACAATGAAAGTGGATTGTTATGAGATTGGGCGTCTATCCAAAGCCCACATTCAAACAGCTCACACAGACTAGCATGATGCTCATTTACTGCTAGCTCTGCATAGCTGAGGGCTGCACAAGCTGTCTGATACACACATAAGCACACACACACACACACACACACACACACACACACACACACACACACACACACACACACACACACACACACACACACACACACACACACACACACACACACACAATTCCTCATCAGCTTATATATCTTGTTTTTCTAGGTCAGTGCCAAAAAAACATCACTTTCTACTGAGTCAACACTTCACAGTCCAGAAATGACCATGACTTAAACTAGCAAAAGCTAAGTTTGGGGATTTTAGATCCAAAGGATTTTGGATTTGCATTACTGCCAAATCATTTCACTTCATTCTTTTATTAATCTCCTTTTTTGTTCATCTTGTTACTTGTTATTTTCATTTATTCAGAGACAGAATAAATAGATACTATAACATATATAAACAGATGAGATGTAGAGTAGGAAACAAGGGGGGACTCCCCCCCTTTAGCTCTCTCTTCAGCTTGCTTATTTTGCCTGACCCAGATCCCGCAAATGTACAAAAAGCAAGAATGATTACTGTTCACATTTCCTTCAGGCAAAAGGCCATCCCAGTGAGTAGGAGTCCCCAGTGAATTATGACACTCATAATTGTACCAGAATCTTCTCTAAGAAAAAAAGATTGTGTTTATAAAGCAGACATCTGGACCATGAGCACTGGCCCATTTAATGCAGACTACTTTTTTCACCACCCACCACACAAAGGAGATGAATTCAGTGTGTGGTGGTTACTGCATGCCAGATCACATTAAGCTCTTCAGAGAGGTGTGATGGACTAAACACTCCTTTCTTCACTCAGTGGCGAAATTTCATTCTGTCTTTGTCCATATAAGGAAAGAATGCAGGTAGTGTGTGAAGCCCCTCCTATAAGTAGAAGGGAAGTCTCAGATGGAGTCAGTGTATGTGTGTGTGTGGCTTCCTGTTTTATGAATCAGTCTTTAGTCATCTGATGTCTTCAAATCTATAGCTGATATCGCATATACTGAAACCTGCTAATCTGGCAGAGTATACTCACACACTTTTTAAAAAATAAGCTAAGTGTTATGTTTGTCCAAGCAATGACAAATGATCAGCTGAAAGGTTTAAAAAAGATTAGTGAAAGCAATAATGAATGAATATTAAAAATAATACTCAAATAAATCATTTGTGCATGCAAGTTGTGATGAAAAAGTACAACTTGATTGATAAGTTCTAGAGGAAATTCATTAGAAAGCATCCAAGCATAACTTCCGTGTGAGTATGTGAGAACAAGGTAGTTATAATGGCAATTCATTTTACAAACACACACACACATACACACACACACACACACACACACACACACACATATATATATATATATATATATATATATATATATATATATATATATATATATATATATATATATACTTGTGTAAATGTGGTTTTTATAAAAACTGTCCCTCTATGATTTAAAGACGTTTAAGCTTTCAGATTGTATAATGGGACCTTGATCTATAAAATCATTTGATGCTGGCAATTTAACTGCGTAACTTGTAAGTTTAACAAATACAAAAATAATTATTTTTTTTAGAGTTTTAAAGTTTTGGATTGTCTTGGTTGGGCATTTAAATGATGGTGTTGATTGGCTCTTTATTGATTAACTGTTTGTTGTTTTTCTCTTTAGATAAAAGTGCCTACTGAAAGAATAATGTAAATTATGATCATTAATCAAAAATAAATAAATAAATACAAGAAGCAATCTGGCGAGGCAGTGGCGCAGTAGGTAGTGCTGTCGCCTCACATCAAGAAAGTTGCTGGGTCGCTGGTTTGAACCTTGGCTCAGTTGGCGTTTCTGTGTGGAGTTTGCATGTTCTCCCTGCCATCGCGTGGGTTTCCTCCGGGTGCTCCGGTTTCCCCCACAGTCCAAAGACATAAACAGGTGAATTGGGTAAGCTAAATTATCTGTAGTGTGTGTGTGGATGTTTCCCATAGATGGGTTGTGGCTGGAAGGGCATTCGCAGCGTAAAAACTTGCTGGATGAGTTGGCAGTTCATTCCGCTGTGGCGACCCCGGATTAATAAAGGGACAAAGCTGACAAGAAAATTAATGAATGAATAGGCTGACCTGTAAAGTCAATTTAATAATAACTCAATACAGGCCCAAAGGGGTTTGGTTTGTTTGACAGACCCACCCCTCACTGATAAAGGTCCAGATTTTGTCCCATACGTAAACTTATTTGTCCTATGTTGACCACTATGCCATAATAAATTGTGAAAAATAACCCATCGAAGAAGGCTTTAAAACCTATTGAAATTCTGTGTCCGCTGTTGTGTGACTTCCGCCATCCCCAATTCTGACTGAGGAAAGTTGAATGTGTTGGCCAGTTTGTTATTAGCCTACTAATGACAGTAGGCTATAGTTTTTAATTTAAAGCTTTAACACATTCCTATTTTTCTTCTACTAATACATAATGTGTTAAACCTGTATTATAAAATGAGTATTGTTTTCATATTTCTTTATTCTAAATATTTAGGAAATGTTTTTAGTACAACAAAACGTGTGGTTATGATGACCATCTGACAAGCTAATCCAGCAAAGAATAGTGTTTGAAATGTCTATAAAATGCAGAATTTAAACCTCATAATTAAATAGAAAAGAGGCGTTTAACTGCAAAGAGAGAGAGAGAAAAAAGAAACACCCCTTTCAGCAGGCTGGCCTGCAATATTAGTACTGTTAACAAGAGAAGTTCACTCATGTTTACAGTATTGAATTAAAATGACGTCATTTCATCAAATGACTATGTCATCCTATTATATTAACCAGAAACGATACATAGACCTACTCCAGCGGTCAAATTATAGACTTGTTGTTGTGTAATATCGGTCCAGGCTGCATGATGAGAGTTTTGTGTCAAAAGTGGTCTTTTGTGTCCGGTGCGTCTCTTTAAAAGGCGTGGCGTGAAGCGGTTTTACTGCACACGCACGAGCTTATTTTACCGTCAGCGAGCACGGAGGCGTCATCATCACACGCACGAGCGCTGTCCGTTTGAATCACGGGCTGTACAGTCGAGTATCGCTTCACACAGCTACAATAAAAGTCGGATGATTTGCATTTTAAAACCTATTTAACCACATGCTTATCTGAGTTTGGATTTAACGCACTAAACCTTTACATGGACTGAGCGCTTTAGGGAATTCTGCGTGTTTCCCTGGTGCATTAACCAGTAGTTAGATTGCGGATTAATACGAAATGGCAACGGACGAGCTGTCATCGAAGCTGAACCGTCGGCTGAAGATCGAGGATGGCTCGCACGAGCCGGCGGCGGCCCTGGATGAGGCTCACGAGAACGGAGCGCACGATAAACCGACCACGAGCAGCGCGGACTCCGAGCTCGGAGCCAAACTGCAGCGGCGCGGGGAGCTGAACGAGGGCGTCGGTGAACACCAGCAGCCCAGCATGAAGGTGTTCAACCCCTACACCGAGTTCAAGGAGTTCTCGAGGAAGCAGATCAAAGACATGGAGAAGATGTTCAAACAGTAAGTACCTCACAGCAGCTGTCATCCTCACTGCTCTGCAGCCGCAGATGTAAGACATGTGCTGGTCATCTCAGCCCCCTGAGACAGACTCCACATGCCCAACTGAAACATCTGACTGTCCATTCATGTTTCTCTACTATTTGTCTATTTATCCGTCTGTCTGTCTGTCTGTCTGTCTGTCTGTCTTCCATTCATTTGTCTCTATGTCCAATAATTTGTCTGTTGTTTTCTGTCTATCTATGAGTTCATCTATTTGCATCCATCCTTTCATCCTGTATTTGTGCAGAGATCAATTTATTTGACCCCAAATGCCCTTAAAGAAGTTTTAGCTTAAAATCACTTTAAAATATATTTAATATTTTAGTATAATTTATTTAGCATGCTTTTAACAGGATATATTATCATATTTCTGTTAAAAAAATGGAACTGAATGTTTAATCAGGAACACACTGTCTTTGTGATGTATAACAATGTATAACACCATCTGTTTACTCCGTCGTGCAGCCTAATGTAGCCTAATGTTTTGCCTGAAACTCTTTCACACATCTAACAAGGGGCCTTAACCTCAGCCCCACCCAAGTTGGCATCCTTTATTTCAAGTACATTCACACACGGACATATGCAGGACTTTGAACCGCGGTTTGAGAAAGTCCCCTAAGGTCATGTGTGGGTTTCATTTTGTATTTTACCCACAGATACATTCTGTGCAGTCTAGCTGGCCAATATGACACAGTTCTTAGTGAGGCTGCTCTAAAGTCGATGAAGGAGAGACGCCTTATGCATTTACTCCACGTTGAACTGGCATCCAAAAAACAATTTTCAGAGCCTTTGTAAATGCTGGTTTGCTACAGAAAGGGTTGTCAGGGCCTTTTAAGTTGGCCTAATAAAAAAAGTCCTTCAGCTGAATGTTGGAAACTACAGGGAGTTGAATCTTCGTGAGATTGACTGAAGGAATGTGTCCTCTGTTCTCTCTGTGGTGGAGCGGTCGGTCTGAGGCGGTGCCTGCAGGGTCGGTTTCACACAGACCCAAGCAATGTGGGAAATGGGGCTGGTTGAGGACCTTGCGCGCGGAGGAAGTGATGGGTTCCTCTCACCATTTCTGCTACCAAACAAAGCTACCATTGTTGTGAATTGGCCAAAACAAGCTGCTCCAAATCTGTTGTGAGGAGGCCTTTGCATCTAGATGAGCTGGCCTGGGTAGCAGGCAATGCAACTTTAAAAAAAAAAAAAAATTAACTTGTCAGAAAACGGATTTATTTATTGATTTTTACAGATTTAATATTATTAGGACTTATAGTATCTATTAATCTTTTGGATTCATGTATTTGTATACATTTTTCATTTAATTAAATTTTTTTTTTTAAATATATTTTTATACTATATAACGACTTTTAGTTTCAATTACTAACTACTATTGATTTCCATAGTAATTAAAGGGATGGTACAGACCCTCCTACCCCACCCCCACTGCCACTTACTTACTGTAATGTTGTTGGCCGCTTGTCATTTTTCAGTTGATCCCAAAACTATTATATAAATACTTTACACTTTACAATATATCATTTGAGCATTGATATCACAATGTGTGCATCCGCAATAGTCACATCGCAGGATCTGCATTGTTTAATTGGGATTAGATAGTTTATGATTATATATATATTTTATTTGCCATTATATAGTCACGCAGTTTAAAATGCATTTTAACAATTTGTTCAGTTACTGCAGAGTTTAACTGTAATGGAGCAAAAGTTCTTCATTTGCACATTTTAAGCTCTAAGAGAGTTTAAAGCATTCAGACACTTTCAGTAAATTTTATAGAGAATAATTTTTGGAACTATTTAACTGGTAAAGACTTTGCAGAGTGTTTTTTTTAGATTCAAATGTTTTTTTTAATTTACTTTTTATTTATTTAATTACTTTTAATTTTGTACCTGAATATGATTTGACTACCCTAAAAACCATAAAGCACTGTTTATTTTACTTTATATGTGCTCTATTGCATTTACCTGTACTTGTAATTTGTTTATTATATTCTGTGCATGATTTGTTCCCCCACAGAATCATGCCAATCAATAGAAAATTAATAAATTCTTATTAAAATAGAGGTATTAAAGTCATCCGGTGAAATGTGTGTGTGTGTGTGTGTGTGTGTGTGTGTATATATATATATATATATATATATATATATATATATATATATATAATAAATGTCTGCTGAATTAATGTACTTAGACTCTTAGATTATCGTTTTAGAGTGCTACCTATTAATCTATAAATTAGTTATGTGTGAAGTCAAACACTAATTCCTTCAGCTTGAGGTCATATGTTCATTTAGAGGTGACAAAAATTGCCATAGACTGGTTTCAAATCTATTTTGCAGCTACAGAGATCACCCAGAGTGAGATACAAGACTAATTTAATTTAGTTTCTTTCACAGAGTGAGCCTTTGGCATTTTATGTGCTAAATGAGACAGGTGTGGTGGTTTCATCTTTAGGAGAGTGTGAGTCGTGCAGAATAGTTCCCTTTGTCTCATAGAAAACAAAGCCTCTGCGGTTACTTCACAGGTTAAACATTAGCTAGGGTTTTTCATGGTCAATTCCTTGTTAAGGATTTTGGTGATAAGAAGATTGTAATTCAATATTGCTGTCTAGTTGCTTTTCCATGCTGTTTAGTTTCATGCAGTTTACAGAAAAGAAGAACTGTGAACCGCTTTAATTGATTTATTACTTTCCAGCTCTATAATGGCTGTTTGTGCCATTGCCTGAAGCCTTGAATATAGATAAGGAAGCAATGATGAAACATGGCCGTCGAGGAGGCAGGTCGGGAACACTTGTATGTTCTTGTGTGGAGTTATGCAATCATAAGAAAAATCATTGATTTATTCACCTTTTAAATGAATGCAGATATTTTGAGCAGTTCATTCAGGACATTCAGTACTTCAGTTGCAGTCAATGTTGCACTCTTAACTGCTTTTGTGCAGAGGGAGGCAGAAAAAAAAGAAGGGAGAGGGAGAAAGAAAAACTGTGTAACAGCCACAGACTGGCCAGAGTCCAGCTGATAAGAGGAATGCAGGCTTTGCCTTACCCTCAGGCCACTTTTCAGAGGGATTCACAATTTTTGGTTTATGACCAGCATTCAACACTATCATTGCTGTTTTTTTTTTAAAGGATAGTTTTACTACATGAAAATTTCCCCAACGTTTACCCACTTAATTGGTTCTAAACTTTTTTGAATTTTTTTTCTGTTGAACACAAAACTAGATCTACTGACGAATGTTGGAAAAAACAGCTATTGACATTCAATAGGAGCAAAAATACTGTTGAAGTCAATGGCTGTTTTTTCCCCCAACATTCTTCAGAATAACTTCCTTTCTGTTCAACAGTAGGAAGAAACTCAAACAGGTTTTGGATCAAGTGGAAGGTGAGAAGCAAAATAAACACGATTTTTGGATAAACTATAGCTTTAATGTAAAACTGTTAACTTTATTTAGTACTTTCATGATATGGTTATTACAAATAGTGATTTGCATGTTTTCTATTTTTATCAGAATAAAAGATCCCTGCCCAGATGTTTTGCATAACTGTGGTAATTGATAGTAAAGCCTGTAAATATGTTGTTCCTCCTTAATTAAGTTCTCGTTGGAGCAGTCCTGCACACTTGCTTTGTTCAAAGAAATCGAAACTTAGGTAGCCAACACCTACATTGTTCATAGAAGAACATAACACTGTATTAGCCTGGAGTTACAGTAAGATTGATTTTGAGCAGCAGATTTAACTTTTAGATTATTTAAAAGATTATTTTTGAGCAATCCGTTCACGTTAAGACATGACTAAAGAACAGCTCCATTAGCCCCTACCAAGCAAGCCAGAGGCAAAAGTGGCAAGGAACCAAAACTCCAACATTTGGCGGAAATGGAGAACAAGCCTTGGAGGAAACCAGGCTCAGCCGGGGCAACCTGTTTTTCTCTGGTCAAACTCACTATCAATTAATTACTGAATGCTAGTGACATTTGCATTACACTGATCTGAATTAATCTGACCTGAACTATATATGATAAACCAAAATGAATCTGTTTTAATTTAACTATAACTGCTACACCAGCATTCTACAACTACCTCTATTTTCTGGAATGTTCCACAATCTGAAATATTATTATGGCTTTTTATTTTTTCTGCATCCATGTTAAGCTGCTTTGACACAATCTACATTGTAAAAAGTGCTACAAATTAATTTAATTGAGTTAAATAGTACTGCACCAGTTGTTCGTGCATTCCACTGGTTCTCCAGCACAAACTAACTAAGAGGCAAATCACAACATTACAAACTTCCTTTTGAAGCATATAAGAAAATTGTACAAAATGACAAAGATTCTGTTTAGTGTTTGCTTAATGGCTGTGATGAGGAAAGGAACAACAATCCCATGAAGCTCTGCAAATCCCAATCAAAACAATAGTAACTTATACATCTAGTTCATTTAAAGTAGTTAAAGTTTATTGTCAGTGCACCCACCCTCACACATCATGGGCAATGTAGCATTTCTGCATGAATTCTTCATGAATAATTTTCACTTTTAAAACTCTATTGTTGTGCTCCTTTCTCTTTTAGCATTTGAAACTATTTTTTTTTTCAGTTTTAGTTGATTTTAAAAACTTTAAGACAGTATTAAATAGGCATGGGATGATAACCAGTTGACGTTGTGTTTTATCGTTCCCAAGGTATATGTAAGGAATTTATTTGTGTTGTAAAGAAATCTGTGTTTTTGAAATTAATGAAGAGAGCAAAAAATGATTTATTTTCATTACTTAGCCTGAAATATTTACTGCTCCAAAATATGATAAATATTTCTTAAAATAAAATATATTGTGTTCAATGTAGAACAGTTTTTTTTATTTGTTTTTGTTTTGCCCAGGCATTTAAAAATAACTTATTTTAGAGCATTAATCACAATACTGTGATACTGTGAAACCGTGGTATTTTTATCCAAGGTTGTCATACCGTC